TTGTTGTGCTTTCTGAATTGTTATTTTGTTTTTTAAACTTGCATTTGCGTTTGTAATTTGTTATTTTGATTTCAGAATTGTGATTTGTTTAGCACTTCTCGGCCACCGTATAATAGACTTCAGATGACTTTTTCTTGCTATTTGAGATGTGCAATGATTCTAGCTTTTCTTTATTTAATTGACAGTTGTCCAATTTTTGTCATAAGGCATCTATTTGTTTTATAGAACTAGTTTAGTGTATATATATATATTCACCAACTCTGGATGTATTGAATATATATTTATATAAAAAAATATATTTAAAAATGTAAATGATATGTTAACAATTTATTAAGCATTATATATATATACATGTGTGTGTGTGTGTATATATATATATATATATACAGTACATAGATAGATAGATAGATAGATAGATATAACATATAATTAAAAAAATTATATATATATATATATATTTGTTTTTGTTTTTTTTGATAAAAATATAGATCCATTATATCCAGTGTTGGTGAATCATCAGTTACATCATGTTTAAGTACATTGCTGAATATATTTTATTTCTTGACATATTAAATATTATGTATAAGTATTTAAAGATGTATAATACATCTAATAGAATTATAATAATATACTATATTGTACTGTATACAGTACACTTAATAAATTATTAACATGTATTTACATTTTGTTTATTGCATAACCATATTTTAGACTGCAGTGTCTTCATCATCAGTTAGAGGGTTATATCACATTTAAGTACATTGCCGCAGGTTTTTATGAGCATTAAAGGAACATCATTGATACTCCAATAGCTTTATGAACACGTAGTTCATAAGCAGTTTGCTCTGAAACAATAATTACCTCTTCTGCAGGATGCCAATATTGTATGGCATTGATCCGAGTAATAGCGGCGTCTTATTTAATTCATTGGTGAGGGATCTAGTCAGGGGCAATATTATGACAGAATTAATAAAATCTTCTCTTCAACAATACTGTGGTGATTACATGTCTCCGATCAGACAAATATAAGAATAACCCTCTATTCTTTCAATTACTCACGAATTACTAGTGATTGTGTCAAGGCGTTTTTTTGCCAGGCGCTAAAGTAAACTGCAAAGAACAGACTCTTGTTAGCCTAATGCGTCCTAACCATTAGCGAGAGTAATAAGTGTATCAAATTCACATAATCATGTCTAATTAGTATCAGTAATTATCTTGTTGGGTGCGAGAATATTAATCTTGCGGTCCCCATAGGGGAAGGGCGTCTCTTGCAGGGAGAGAGCGATAGAGCTTCAAGCTCACGCTGTGGAGTACTTGCTAAATTAGCATGCTCCAAATCAGCGCTGCGGAGGGAGGGGAGCGAAGGAAACGTGTCGGAGAAAAAGGCAAAATTGCAAAAAGCGAAAAACAACAGAGAAAAGTTTAGTCCCACTGTGAAATGCATTAGAGCCTAGTAAATAAAATATCAGTGTTTTCTGTGTGCTTTTCAAGTTTTTTGTTGACGTGCATGTGGGTAAAACTTTTAAATGGATTTCTATTTTCGTGATCCAGTTTACGTTAACACTTAAGAATTACTATGTGTTCCGATGACACCTTTAAGTTCATAGCATAGACAAAAGGATATATCTACTGTTTCATTAAAGCCTCAGGAGCAGCTGAAGCCATATAAACAGCACATGTAATTTTATGTAATGTGCTGTTTTTTAAACATTTTAGTAAGAATAGGCTAACGGCAATATAAAACCAATTTGAAAATGAACCAAGCACAAACAATGTTGGATCTTAAAGAAGAAACAGGCAAGAAAAAATAATTATGTAGGTATCCATCAAAACCTGACCTTGAGCCTCCAATGTCGAGATTTAAATATTAGACATCGTCTCTATCAAGTGGGGAGCCTGTTTTTCGGGAACAGGAGGAGAGGACCCCACGCGACACGGCCAGGCCGGTGAAGTGGCGCCCAACGCGGGGCATCCGCTGATTGAAGCCAGGGAGGCCCGTCAGCACAGCCGCCACTGCCGGGAGAGATGGATGTGTCAGGCGGAGAGTGGGGTAGAGCTAATTACCGTTCCGAGTGTATCTTGTTAATTAAGGGCTAATTAGTGGCAGAAGCGCAGAGGGAGCAGGGTATGGAGACGGGGTGAGGCGCTGACTGCTCATGTAGCACTAAGAGACGAACGCGGTGATGAGATATACAACATCTATACGCAAAATCTTTACCATACCTTCTTTAGTCCCTCCAGTTGGTTGATACTTTATGGTTCTCATCGCGTCTATAGGAAAATAGGTTTTCTGAGATTGTTTTGCTTTCAGGTTTTAGTAATAACTAAAAAGTTACGTAGTTTTGCTATAGTAATGTGTTGGATTTTTTACATGTACTATGGTGAATTTGTTCCAAACCTGTATGAGTTTCTTTCTTCTGTTGAACACAAAAGAAGCTATTTTGAAGAATGTTGGGAACCAAACCGTTGCCGGTAGCTATTGACTTCCATAGTATGGAAAAAAAATAGTCAATGGCTACTAGGGATGTAATGATTCACTCAACTCACGATTCGATTCGATTCACGATTTTGATTTCACAATTCGATTCGATTCACGATTTTTTTGTTAACAAAATGAGATTTAAGACAAATTATAAATTAAATGTGTCCTTTTATTATTGCTTGGACAAAAT